AAAGATCCTTGATTGCTTCTTTAATAGCCATGTACTCTGATATTTTCATTTAACGAGTAATATTCTTTTATAACCATTTTATAACCTGGACATCCAATTGATTGTTGTACATCCAATTGTGAACATATAAGTGACTGTGATCTTTCCCAAATCAATAAAACCACTGAAATCATGATTAAAATTCGTCCAAGACTATTCATTTTCTTCTAAGCATAAGGCAACCTCACATTTACCTTTCAAGTACCGTAACAACCACTTGACACCTTCCCAATGCTCTCTCCCTTGATTAAACATAAACCGGCTCGTAACTCTTACTTCATGAGCAAAATCTACTCAGGCACACCTGTTGAGGCATAGTGAACTTTATTTGTCTTTTTTTTGTCTTCTTCCATATATAGGGAATGTTTCTTTGAGAGTCCAGCTGACATCCTAAATGTGTAATTTTGTGTTTCTCATATGTCATGTTAAATTTCTCCATAGCCTTATTGATGTTCTTTGTTTGAGAAATTTTCAAGCTACCTGTAGCTCTATCTATGTATATACTCATGTCCAATATCTCCATAGTAGCACTTAGTTCCTCATCTCAACCTATTCGGACAACTGTTTCTTTAGTGAGTTGATATCTTGTATAAATTAACCAAAAATAAGCATGTCATCAACATATAATAAAATAATGATGTATGAGGAACCAAAATTATTGAGGTATTCCCCTTCAACAAATACACTTGTTATTGACGAACTCGACTTCCATATCCTTCGTCCACTATATGTACTCATCTTCAAGGCCTCTAGATAATATTTTGCTTTACCATTCTTAAACAGTACCAAGTAGTTAGTTGAAGGGGAATACTTGACTTGAGTTCTTTTTTCCCTAGTGTATCTCCGGATAACATGAGATTCAAACTTGTCCATGTCTATAACTTCATCCTTCGGACTCCCACTATCTCTATGTTCAAGTGAACTCCTAATGTTTCTCTCACTTTCACCTATGTCATAAGTACTAACAAATTTTACAGTGTTGTCATTTGAGATTTCATTGAACTCAACTTGATTCTTCTATTCTGGTGTCTTTTCTCTGTTTGGACTTGTTGGAATCTTATCCTTGTAGAAAGCACTCTCATTGAATGCTACATCCCTACTTCTAATATTCTTTTATTCTAGTTATACCAAAAATGGAAACGATGATATGTTTAGATACGAAGCATAATCGAAAACTTTTAAGTGCCTGATCGAAACTTCTTGCTTTTGCAATTCCTCTTTTGGAATTTTGAACCCTATAGGAATTAAGGCTCCTTTTTTGATAAGTATGTTATTGTGCTGGTAAAATCTGCCCAATACATCTTCGGCATCCATGCATGTAGTCTGATGCTCTTTTCTATCTTGTTCGGGGAAATGTTTATTCTCTCAACCGTACCATTCTACTAAGGCGTTTTAGGGGCAATTTTCAGCATCCTAGTCCCATGTTGAACATATTAATCATCGAATTCTTTGTTTTTATACTCTTTACCATTGTTTGACTTCAAACACTTAACCTTTAGACCAGTTTCATTTTCCACAATAGCTTTCCATTTCTTGAAGGTGTTAAATACTTCATGTTTTTTCTTGATGAAATAAAATCAAACTTTCCTAATATATTCGCCAATGAATGTAACATAATACATGGAACCTTCCACCAAATAAACTAAAGTGGGGCCGCTTAAATATGAATTAGCTAGCTTCAACTTCCTATGCGGTTAACTCGACTCTTTAAAAGCACCCTTCTTTTATTTGCCAAGGATAAATGGCTCACAAAAGTCAATTATCACACTTTTCAAATCTAGAATCTTCAGTTTAGGTAAAAGCATCTTCATTCAATTCTCGCTCATATTCCGAAGTCATTGGTGTCATTGAGTGGATGCCCCTTTTTCTTCAAATGTGGCATTTTCTTCATTTTCAGAAACATCCACCATGTAAAGTGTACCCCAATTTTGTCCATTAGCAACAACTATGTTCCCCTTTGTCAACTTCCACGGATGATTACCGAAAGTAACATGATGAACCACATGATCAAGTTTCCCCATTGGCATCAACATTGTCTTTATATCTGTAATGTACTTGACAATCTTCAAGTCTAATTTGTTCCTAAAATTGTTTTAAGGACATATCCCTAGCACCCACGATATCTAGGCCCAAATTGTCTGCTACCCAAAATTTTCCATTATAGTGCCTAAAATTCTAAATACAATTCTAGAACGACCAACTTGAAACAATTTGCTAGAGTCCAATATCTATGATTCTATTGAGTTTTCAGCACACTATATAAATGTATTATCTTAGAAGCTTGCCGTCACTTTCACCTCATTCTTGCCTTTGTATTCTAAGTAAGGGTCATGGGGATTGATTTTTGAAGTGGCCACTTTCCTTGAAATTCCAACAGATGATATTTATTTTTCTTATTCTTCGATTGATCTCTCTTCCTCGATTTTGATCTTCCTCTACCACGTTCTCATTTGTTGGTTTTTCTTGGTATGTCTTATTTGCTTAGAAGAATACCTTTATTGCATTCCTTGTGTGAATATCCTCACCAAGGTCATTTAAATGTCATTTTAGCACTTCTTTCTGAACTACTAAAACTCATCATTATATTGGACCAACTATCATGTAAATATGATAATAGTTGTAATGTTTACACTTCATTCGCGAATCCAATATCAACCAAAATCAAGCTTGAGATGATCAAATTGAACTCATTAACACAATCTATCAACAAGCCGCTCTCCTCCATCTTCAGATTCACTAACTTCTGTATAAAGAATACCTTATTATTGCTAAGGTTTCTTAACACATATCAGATAATGCGTTAATCAGCTCGTATATAGTATTCTCATTGATAATATTGTAAGCTACATTCTTTTCCACTAATAATCTTACCACGCCAAGAGCCTATCAATCCAGTAGATTCCAGTCCTCCTGCTTCACTATTTCAGGTTTAGGCCAAGGGTTCATGTAACTTCTTCCGGTAGAGGTGATTAGATCTTTGATATTTTTTCTCAATAACCCGAAATCATGTCATTCAAATTTTTCGATCTTAACCTTCTTGTATTCAACCATAACGCTAATATTGGTTGTTAGGGTGTAAGCACTTAAACAAACTATAAACAAAATTATCACACATAGAGTATTAATGCAAAATGAAAAACAAAGAACATAATTAATTTAGGTGGTTCACATGATCAAGATGATCGACTATGTCTATGGAAGAACATGATAGAATTTATTATTTATGCTGAATAACTATAGGGTAAAAGGGTGAACTAGTCTCCATAATTTAACAAACATAGAAAACAGACTAACCCTTTAATAACCATTTGAATGGTGATAAGTTTAATAACACGACTGGATATCTCATCCTAATCAGTGCATGGTTAGAGAAATCCTTTAGCCATAAGTCGAATGTTGTATCATATAATGTTCCTATCTTTGTTTCTTTAGATACTATCGACCAATTTGTTTCCAAAAAACTTCACACCAATGGAATGTGGAACCAAATACATTTTTCATTCCAAACAAGACATCATACACCTCAGAACCTTACAATGGTCAACAGTTTTATTAGTATTGGTAAAAACATGTTGGTTTATTTGTAGGAGTTGAAGGAAAATCATTCATGGTAGTGCGGGAGTATGGTTTTTATCTATCCACCCCTCTCCTACAAAACCCGATCCTCTAGCCGACATCCAATGTTTCCTCATTAAAAAGATCACCACATCTCCTAAATCTGACATCTCTTATAAAATCCAAGCCCTAGCCGATATCCGCTTTTCTTACTATAATTGTCTTTTGTCTCCATTTCTCTTCGTGTTCTCCTTCTCCTGCCACCATGTTGACACCGCCTCTTGCAAGCTCTCTCTCTCTCTCTCTCTCTCTCTCTCTCTCTTATTTTTCCATTTTCACACTCACTCTCAAATCAAGGGAACGCTTTTCAGGTTTCCTTACCAAATCCACAGACTATGTGTGGTTGGGGTACCATTCCTTTACGTGTGTTAGACTATGTGTTGTAAGGGTACCATTCCTTTACGTGTGTTTTGCTTTTTTGGTCACAAGTTTTCCTCATAACATGTCCATAGTGTCTGAAATTTATGCGATTTTGGTATTTATTTTCAGAAATCAATTAATTTTGCTTTTCATTTTTCAGAAATCGATCAAATTTGGTCTTCATTTGGGTTTCATGTTTGTTTTTTCTATTCTAACACATTGTTATGATTCTAATGGTTTGAATTTTTATATAGGGTTAGCGGTTTTCAGAAGTAGCAAGTGGTGGTTGCAGGTGGTGAACTGGGTGCCGGTGATTGTTTTCGGTGATGAATTAGAATGTCGGATCCAATGAAAGGCAAATGATGTTGAACAATGATGACTGAATGTGAGATAGGAATAGTGGGTCCCAATAAAATAATTAAATAAAAGATTTAAATACATAATAAAAACTGAAAATGATATATATATATATATATATATTATATATATATATATATATATATATATTCAGTACAAGCAATATAGTCTTTATATCTGTCATGGACCAAACGCATATCATAACAACCGTCCGAGTTATAAACAAACTAAAAATAAATAAGTAAATAAAGTGACCAAGCGCACATATTACACCAAACAATGAGGACCATCACTATAATTTACTTAATAATATGAGATGGTACCCCACATATGAGACGGTGAAGGAAAGATGATTCAATAGAGGGGTTTGGGTGAGAAAAAATGGGCATTTTAGGAGCATGAATGCATAGTAGATTTTTTCCTACATTTAAACACTCACGACAAATTTTGTCTATTAGACCAAAAACACAAGACATACATATAATCATATTAAATTCATTAAGTAAAAAAGAAACGGACACTAAATCTTACAATGATAGTAGAACATTCGTACATCTTATTCCTACAGAATTAAATTATATTTATAAAAGTGATGACATAAGATTAAATGACAGCCGATATGAAAATACCTGGATTTGTGGGGTTTATACTATTAACAACAGAACTTGACAGCGTTGCGTCTGGCAAGAAATATTCTGATCTAGTTTCCATAGTGAATGTCTTTAAGGTGTTATCAGGCTGCAAAAGAAACCAAAATTGAATCACATTATATAGGTCCCAAATGAATCACACCATATCGGTCCCAAAGTACCTTAACATATGACAAACATGATATAATTAATTATTCTATTTAAATAATAAGTACTCCTGCACTCCCTTATTCCACTATGACCGTCTCCAACCCTAACACCTAACACCATATATTCTTTACTATAAAAGACCGAAAGGCCTTTGGTCTAGTGGTAATAAGTGACTCTCTCAAATAAGAGGTCATTGGTTCAACTCTCACTATGAGAGATAGATGGTGTTTAGGATTAGATTAGGAGTAGGATATTTTGCGGTTTTAAAAAAAATTAATAAAAATAAAAATAAGACAGAAAACCTAGTGTTAGTAATGATTCATCTTCAACCCATTATATTATCTTTTAGACAAAAAAAAAATTTTGTTACAATACTTTTTTTAAATTATATTATTAAACAGTTATAGCCAAATGAATTATTCTATATTTTAATTATGTGTTTATATTAGATTAGTGGGAAATATATTCTAACCCAACAAACTTTGTCGAAATGATTTAAATGGTCCTTTTAGTTTTTTTCTTGCATTACTAGGGGACAAAGTTGCTCTTGACTTTTTCATTTGGTCATCTTAACCTAACACAACTACTTTAATATGTCACATAACCATTTGTGTATGTTGACCAGCCTAGTCATTCGACTTTTCTAATAAAAAAAATTTAAAGAAAATACCAAATAAACCCATCCCGTGCTTATGCTTCTTCTCTACCCCAACTTCCATGTGTGTTGCTGGAATGGATAATATGTTCTTACTTTATGCTGTAGCTTTCTTCACACAATAAACATTTATGATGATTCTGTACGTATGCAACAATATCCTGTTTGAATCCATCTCCTTTCATTTCTATGTAAACTTCATCTAGATTCAGTAGATTCATTTCTTGACCCCAACCTTCTAGGAGAATGGTGTATAAATTTATATATGGTTTGAATTTGGTCTTATTCATTTTATCGAACATTTGCTGAATTGTTGTGCACTCTCAACTTGTCTTGACTTGCAAAGATTATCGAGAAACATGTTGTAATCACGGAGTTCAGGCTTCAATCCGAACTTCTCCATATTCTCTTGAATGCCTCTATGGTTTCTTTCACTTTCTTTGCTCTAGCGTACGTCCTCGAAAGCAAATCACATGTTGATTTGCTTAGTACCCCATTAATTTTCATGTCATTAACCAAGGTCCATATAACCTTGAACTGTTTGATCTTTCCTAGAGCTTTGATTAAGACATCATAGCTATCTGAAGTATGTTTAAACCACGTTTTGTTTCTGTAGAAAAAAAGTGTGAAAACTATGGAATTACTCGGTATTTTCAGGACCTCGATAACAAGAGCGAGAGAGAGTTCAATTTGAGTGGAGTTCAACAAAGACTCTAGTCGTGTCGTATCACGTTGAGATGAGATCATTTTGCAGAGCTTCTCCACGTCGGTGATGATTTGATGGTTGAATGCATATAGGGTTTCAATGGTTTTATCGCAGAAACTTCTGAGATTCCCTGACGAATAAACAGGGATATGTGGTTGAGATTTTCCCCGGTCTACCATCTTTCCTGCGAGTACGTGTAGGTTTCCGGCAAAGGTAGTTCTCAGTTATTAAGCTCAACGATCCAAAGCAGAGGAAACATTATTGGGATCTAGATGGGTGATCCATGTTCGATTGACAAGTAGTGTTGAATAGACAAGGTATAGTTTTGTCAGGAAGAATTAATTGGGGAAGAAGAATGGAGTTGGCTGCCAAGTAGATGACCACATCATCTTCTATATAGGTAGGACAATTTTAACTTATTTGTCAAAAATACTGGGTTACCTCTTCAGAATTTCAAAAATGATCATTTAAACGAGATAAAGTCCACATTATGCCCCTAGAAAGGCAAAAAAAGCATAAGGGACCATTTAATCAAATTCAAGAAACTTTGTTGGGTTAGAATGACATTAACCCTAGATTAGTAGATGTTAATATATGTGTTTTGGTTAAATATGTTTGTGCTTGATATTACTTAAAGTACTAAAATTTTAAATAACTTTGAAACATAAAAATCAAATTTACTACTATTTACAACGTATCATCAAAGACCATTTTGTACTAACTTTAACACTAATTTTAGTTTCAGTGAACAAATTACACCATAGCATCATATTTGGTGGAAGAAATAGTTTTGGGGTGTAGCAGTTTTATAACAAAAATGATGGTAACATCAAATTTGGTGTTGGGTTGGAAAGATCTAAGCAAAACCAATGACCATAACATTAAAGAAGGTAATCACAGAACATCAGCAAATATAACACACAAAAAAGTAGCAGTATAAAACACTATACAAACCTTGTCCAAGGATGGAAGATGCCTCTTCAATCCATTCTTATGCAATTTAAATTAAGTTTATATGAATGTTTCCAATTATTTGCATCTTCCTGGTTGTCGTATATCCACCAAACATAGTCAGCTGTTTTGTAAATATTTTTTAGATATATATTACTGTTTAACAAAACCAAATGAAGATGTTGCATATAATAGATTTCCAATACAGAATATCACAAATCAAATTTTCATTTTCATTTCAAGCACATCTTTTGTTTTTCATCTTTGTTTCTGAATTTAAGAGGCATTATAGTAAAGAACTTTCCAGTACAATTAAGACATCATAAAACAATAACTAGTAGAAGTAAATCTAAAAGGAAAAACACAACTTACTTGACATTCAAGAACACTTTCAAGTATTCTGATGACTTCTGTCATTAATGGACGTTCTTCCAACTCTCTCTCCAAACATCGATAAGCAATTTTGGTAAACACATCCAAAGACTTAGGAGTCATGTCATCCTTTATAGTATCATAAATAATTTTATTTATTTTGTTTTGTTTATAGTATTGACGCACCAATCCGACTAAAGATTGAGGAATACTTGTTCGGTGGGTAATACACAACCTCCCACACAACACTTCAAACAATACTATTCCGAAGGAATAAACGTCTGACTCTTTTGTTAATAATCCTGATTCAACATATAGTGGATCACAATACCCAATTGTGCCTACGGCGTTAGAGACAATAAATGAGTATTGTTGGTTTGCAGGACCAAATTTGGATAAACCCAAATCAGAGATCTTGGCATTCCAGTTCTCATCCAGTAGGATGTTAGAACTCTTAATATCACGATGTAATACTCTTTGTTGGGTCTCACCAGGATTGTGAAGGTATGCTAGTCCACGAGCCGCCCCAATGCAAATCTTAATCCGATCGATCCAAGTAAGATCATCGTTGTTGAGATGCAAGTCAAGACTTTTCCTGGATGCATACTCGTACACCAGGATCTTCTCGTCACTCTCGTCACAAAACCCTAACAGAGAAACGATATTTTCATGCTTGTAAAGAGAAAGCATGATGATCTCCTTCCAAAACTTTGGGTTTCCTTGCCCAAATCTACGATCTAATCGCTTTAAAGCAACAATGGTTTGTTCCTTGGAATGAACAAGCTCCCCCTTGTATACTTTGCCGAATCCTCCTTTTCCAATGCAGTTGTCATCAGCAAAGTTGTTGGTTGCTGATTTTATAGCTTGTAATTGAATCTTGAGATGTTCAAACTTTTTTGTGAGATGCATCATTTTGATGGTAAATTTATACAGGGCACAGTGAATAGCTTCAAGGAAGTATAGTTTTAGAGCTTGATCGATTTGATATCGAGCATTTAACAATAGACAAGCAACGCTTGGTCAACTCTATCTTTCTCTTATCATACACAATTGGACAAGGGTATTGAATTCAGGCTGAATAGTCTACACTAGCATTTTATTGAATTCTAAAAGTATATGCTGGAAGGAAGCAACGTATATTGAACTTGACAGGCCTACCATTACCAACCTTTATTTTAAAATTCTTGTTCATAGTTGTGATATTTCTGCTACATATTTGATTTCATGAACTTATTAATTAATACCTTTCATTTTGATAAAATTCCAAATTCAGGTAGCATATCTTTTATTTAAATGGTTTGAATGGAAATAATTAATTACTTCCTACTCCTAGTTCTATGTAAACACTTTACTATGTTTTGGCATTGCTTTCTTTTATTTAGCTTGGTTCGGCCAAGTTGTGTCTCTCTACTTTGTATATTCCTCCCAGCGTAATTATGCTGTTTTTTTAGCTTAATATATACTATTTCTTTTGCCATTAAAAAAATGTAAATACATTTTGAAGAGAGGTAATATCAAGAAAAAGAAAACATCACCCACTCAAACGAAAGCGTTTATTATCGTTATTCCCATGTATTATTAGTAAGGAAAATGACCTCAAAGGGTTCAACCTAATTTAGCATTTTGTACACGTACGTTACTGAATTGGACACAACATAAATAACTACACAAGACATATTATCCATTAGGTGTTTGGTAAAACTTGAACAAAATAGTACAAAACGTTTAATTACAAAATTATCTTTGCAACTTACTAGATTTTCATAGATTATTTTTTATATTTATTAAACCATATATTTAAAAAAGAAGTATGCTATTTTAATTATTTTAAATAATAATACTTCAAATATTTTCAATAGTTGTTGCTGTTAGAGCACATGGTGTGGGTCAATGATGGAGCGGGACAGATGGTGGAGAAAAAGAGGGAAAGAAGACCATGGTAGGAGGCGGGAAATGTTTGGTGCCTGTTGAAGATGGGTATGGGGTTGAAGAGTGGAATGACACCGTTTATAATTTTCAATATGCCAAATAGCTGTATTTGATTGTATTTTCAATAAAGGGTACGACTTTTGAAGCGTTTACTATTAGTTGATTATTTATTGTAAAACAGAAATTATATTCTTTAGTGAAAACAAAGTACGACTTTGGTACATGCATTCAACTTTTCATTGGCCACTATCATTTTTAACATTTTTATTAAAGAAAATTACATTTTTGGTCCTTGTTTTTTATAAACACTTTCGGTTTTGGTCCCAAATAAGCTACCGTTTCAATTTTGGTGCCTAATCGAGTAATTTGATAAGCTGTAAAGATTTTGATCCCTCATTTAAAAGACGTTAACAAGTTGAGGCTAGCCACTTGGCTAACAAGGTATCTAATAAGGCGTTCTAACAAGTAGGGATGTTATTCAGGCCGGAACCGGACCGAACCGACCCGAACCTGAATAACCCGTGAACTGAATAAGGGTAATTGCATGAACCGAAAACCGAACCAAATAAGTAATACGGGTTCGGTTCATTTTGGGTATTAATCGGTTTAGTCTCGAATACTAACTCGTTGTTTCAAAAAAAAATCTAAAAGACGTTAGGTCACAGCCATTTAAGCCCTTTACGTGTATACATGTGAGGGATTTTTTGTCTTTTCAAGTTTATTCTCACCCTTTAATACGATCTAGATCGATTTACATCTCGTTTCAATTCTTTTGTCCACTTTTCTCACACAGAAGTCCCAACCCTTTAGAATACCCTTTCATCAGTGGTCTTCCAAATGCACCCTATAAGAAAGTCAAATCAAATAGAAAAGTCGCCCTACAAACATTGTTCTCATACCAAAAAAGTTGTCCACAAAAAATTGCAATGACAACCGTAGGATGCCAAATTAACTAACTCATCAAGCACTTCACTTTTCTTTCCTGTTCTAGGTCATTTACCCTTTAATTTCCAACTTCATTATCCTTAACTTTGTCTTTTTCTTTTTCACTTGAAGCAGATTGTGTGACATCCCCATTTTCACAGCCACAAAAGACCGATTTTGTTTATGCTTTATAAAAATCAGAGTACTTCTTTTAATAAAAACGTTGCGGAATTAGTTCCCAGTAAAACATGATAAATACATTATCAAAGCATTTCCGAAGAAATGTATTTTTATTCATTTTAAAACATTAGGGATGTCATCGTCAATACAGAAACATAAGCATAAACAGAACTTACATTCATTTACACTAGTGATCTACATCTCTTTTAAATCTCTCAGTGTAAAGTAGCTTCATATTGACACCTGTGATACAAATAAGCTTGAGTGGGTCAGGTTGGGAAACCTGGTGAGTACATAGGGTTTTCAACCCACAATAATATAATTATTATGTTTAAACATCAAACAATCAACCCAATTACCCATCCCCATTATCTTCTTTACTCTTAAGGATCTACCCTAAGATTCTGCTATTCCTCGTTCATTAATTCCTAAGGATCATCCTAAGGAATCGGCACGAAATCCATCGTTTTTCAGGGTTTACTCAACAAGCACTAGGTCGCATAGTCGCCAGGGTTTATACAACAGGCACTAAGTCGTATAGTCGCCAGGGTTTATACAACAGGGTACATCTGGTGGACACGCAGTTCAAAACATCTGGTGAACACGTAGTTCAAAACGTATGGTGAACACTTAGTTCAAAACATATGGTGAACACTTAGTTCAAAAAATAACTAGTGAATACGTAGTTCAAAAACACCTACAAGTTACGAGCCTGCTAGTGTTCCACTAGACTGTCTAGAATAGTCTGTGGTCGTCATCTATACTCCGCTAGATGACTAGATCATCAATAACATCAAGGTCTCTCATTATTTTATTTTATCACACAGCAACTATTACATCTACCCATGTTTTACCCAACACATTTTGTAGATATAAAATACATATACAGTTTAAATCATTTAAAACATGTATAAAATCGTTCATCCAACATAGATAGCAAGTATACAGATAATATGCACACATAGCACATAATTTATATAAAATACTCCATATCTATGTGTAAGATGAAAGTAACTATGCACTCACTTGAAAAAGTGGTGATTCTGAACTCAGACAGCGCTTCGCTTCTTAAAAATAATTTCCTTCGACGAAACCTAATATTATTACCACTAGAGTTTAGTCTATTATTCGCCGAGACTAATTAATAGTCTAGCTATTATTACTATTATATAAACATTAAAAAATACTTATATAATCCATAATAATAGCCCAAGTACTTATTATAAGTTCCTAATAACGTTACTATAATTAAATAAAAGCTATATTAAAAATAGCGTAGGCGTAGCTCACTTACAGCGGGTTTTATAGAAAACCGGGCTTTGCTTGGAGCAGCGTTCCCGAGTTGAAAAGCTCTTCTTCTCGGAGCCGTCGAGCACTCTGGGGCTTCCGCCTCGTGCTAGGGAGGTTCCCTAGGCTTTTCGGGAAGGGGGGGGGGGGGGGTTCGGGGCTAGAGAGAGGTTCTAGAGAGAGAGTAAAGAGAAGAAAGAATGGGAAAGGTGTGAAGAAAATGAGGGTGGGAGAGGTTCTATTTATAGGGTGAAAAATGGCTGAACTTGGTGCCACATGTCACCATCTAGTGGCAAGACTTGGGGAGAAAGCAATGGCCAAGATTTTGCCACATCACCCATTTTCGCACAGCACACTTCCGACTTCTAAAATTCGTAACTTTCACATACGACCTCCGTTTTTGACGTTCTTTATATCCACGCGTAGGTAAAAATAAGATCTACAACTTTCATTTTGACTCCGTCGGCCAATTCTCGACCGATCTTAAATTTAACAGTACGAGGAGATTATACTGTTAAATGTCCGCGTAAAATTCATAACTTCTACATACGGACTCTGTTTTCGTCTGTCTTTTTACCGTTGAGTTCCTATTAATGAGATATTCAATTCTCATTTAGGTCGCGTAGGCCAAAAACTGCTCGATCTAAAATTCGAGTTTCGGGTTGTGTACTGTTAAGTCAAATCTTAGAAAATTCATAACTTCCTCATACGAAGTCAGATTTGGG